AAAAGAAAGAAAGAAAAAAAAATTTAATAAAAAAGCCAGACACGGGGGCACACAGTTACAATCCCAGCACTTGGGAGGCTGAGGCAGGAGGATTGCTGTGAGTTCAAGACCAGCCTGGGCTACATAGTGAGTTCCAGATCAGTCTCAACTACATAGTGAGACCCTGTCTCAAAAAACCAAAAATAAATAAATATAAATAAATATAGTGCAGGGCTGGGGATTTAGCTCAGTGGTTCTACCGCCTGCCCTGCAAAAGCAAAGTCCTGAGTTCAATCCCTTGTAACAAAAAAAAAGTAGAAGGCTAAAAAGGGAAAAGAAAAAAATGTGAGATAATGAAAAGATGGAAATAAAGTGTTTGTAAATGCGGAGGGGATGAGGGGAGGAGGGAGTGAAGGGAGGGCAGGGACAAGGGGAAAAAATGAGAACCAAGACTTGTCATGTAGAGGTACAACATCCCAACAATGAATGTAACTGTACTGTATCCCTAAAATGTACCAATAAACTCAATTAAAGCTGAAAAAAATAAGTAAAATATAATGCAAATACTAAATTTTTAATAATCACGAAACAAATGCTGTATGTTTGTGAAGTGTTCAAAAACATTGCAAATTAGTATATTAGAGTCTAGCATAGTGGTACATGCCTGTAATCTAAGCACTCAAGAGGCTGAATCAGGAGGATCCCCCCCCCTCCAAGTGTGAGGCCAGCCTGGGCTACTTAGTGAGTTCAAGTCCAGCCTGCAATACGTAACAAGACCCTATCTCAGAGTGTTTTTCTGAGGGCTGTGCTTCAGGTGGGAAGAGAAAAGAGGGTCTGGGTGGTCTTAGATCCAGGAGAAAGCTCCAGGAGACACTGAGGAAGCCCCAGGCCTGAGCAAGTCTATCCCACGTAGAAAAGCCTGCCCTGCCCCATGTGGGACAGGTGACTACATTTGTCGTGGGGGGTTGGTACATGTCGATGACACAGCTTAATTCTTTTTTACCCCCTTTCCCTCTCCTTCTCCCCCACCGTGCACTCTTGGATAAGTAAGTATATATTTTACCTGTATACGGATATACACACGCATGCATGTAGATTTTATATACACGCATACTGTTGTATATGTACACGTGTATATTAGGTGCATTGTCATATACATTATGTATCCATACGTATTGTTATATATGTGCATTTATACACCTTTATAGTACATAACGGTCACGTTCCTCGTAGAAACTTTATGCATTGCGCACTTCACAAGTCCACCTTTTTCATGGGATTTTACTCCCCTCCACCGCCCCTCCTTCCATCACCTTCCCATACCCTAAATATCTGTCTGCCTGTTTACGTTTCTATTTCTTTTCTTTTTCTCTTTCTTCGCATGTTGGGTTTCTCGTATAAGAGAGATCTTACGATATTTAAGCTTGTGTGTCTGACTTTTTTCACTGAACGTTATGGTCTCGAGGTGCACCCGTTTCCTACGTGTGACTCCAGGTCATCCTTTTGTGGCACAGTAGTAACCCATTTTATGTAAATGCTGCAGTCTCCTTGGGCAGTCATCTGTCGATGGAAACACAGACCACTTCGAAGTTTTAGCTGTAGTGAGTTGTGCTGCTATAAAATGGAGATGTGTGGATCACTGTAATGTGGTGTCTTGAATTCTTTCGGGAAGGTTACTGGAAGGGGAATGTGGAGGCTGCATGCAAATGTGAGGGCTGTTTTCTAAAGAATCTCCTGACTGATTTTCTTAGTGGTGCTGCCACTTTAGTCTCCCACCAACAGTGAAGAAGGGCTCCTTTTTCCTCGCGTTAGCTATCGTTTGGTTATTTGAAGACACCCATTCCTTCTGGGGTGAGATGGAATCTCAGTGTTGCGTGCACTGGCGTTTCGTGAATGCCCAGCGAGGTTGAATGCTTATTTATGTGTTTGTTGGCCATTTGTACATCGTCATCTGAGAAGTATCCATTTATTTAGAGAACCATTTGGTGGTTTCATTTTTTAATTTTGGAGACCTAATACTTTTTAGTTCTTTATGTTTTCTACGTATTGACCTTTTGTCTAAGGAGGAGCTAGCAATTTTTTTCCAATTCTGCAGGTAGTCTCTTCACTCTGTTGGGTGTTTCCTTTACTGTGAAGAAGTGTTTCAATTTGATTTGGTCTCATTGGTCGCTTCTTGGTAATATTTCTTGTGCAACTGGTGTTGTTCCAAAAGTTGTTGTCTACACATCAGTCTTCCAGAGTTCTACCTAATCTATCTTCCAGCAGATTGTGTTTCCCTATTACTATTTAGATCGTTGATTCCTTTTGATTTTATTTTAGTGCATGATGAGAGATATGGGTCTGGGTGTAACCTTCAGCATGTGAATAGCCAGTTTTCCCAGCGCCATTTGTTAAAGAGGCTACTTTTGCTCCAGTGAAAGTATTAGGTCAGCTGTGCTGCCTGTTGTGGTTTCTGTATCCTGCATTCTATGCTGCTGATCCACAAGTCTGATTTTTTTGCCAGTATCAACCTGTTTTGTTTGTTTGTTTATTTGTCCTGTACCAGGGATCAAACTCAGGACCTTCTGCTTGCCGGGTAGGTGCAGCTCCTGCTGAGCCACATTCTCAGCTCAAAGCTGTCTTTCTTTTCTTTTCTTTTCTTTTCTTTTCTTTTCTTTTCTTTTCTTTTCTTTACTTTTCTTTTCTTTTCTTTTCTTTCTGTTTGTCTCTTTCTTTCTTTCTTTCTTTCTCTCTCATTGAGTTTATCGGTATATTTTAGGTATACAGTACAGTTACATTCATCATTGGGATCTTCTACCTTTACATGATGGGTTTTGGTTCTCATTTTTCCCCTTGTCCCTGCCCTCCATTCACCCCCTCCACCCTCCCCTATTTACAAAGACTTTATTTCCATTTTTTCATTATCTCATATTTATTTCTTTTCCCTTATTACCTTCCCCTACCCTTCCCATTTTCCCTACGCCTTTAGCCCTTTTCTTCCTATTTCACCTTGTCAGTTATACCATTAGGATCTTATGGACCATTGTAGTTTTTCACACCAGAGAAATTATTCGGTATTTACACATGTGTGACTTATTTATTTCACTTAGGAGCATATCCTCAATATGTATCCATTTTCCTATGAATGACTCTAATTTCTCATTCTTTATTGCTGAGTAGTATTCCATTTTATAGAAAAACCACATGTTCTTTATCTAGTCTCCACCTGATGGGCAAATGGGATCAAAGAGGATATAAGAAAATATAAAGATATCCCCTTCTCCTGGGTAGGAAGAATCAACATAGTGAAAACGGCCATACTACCAAAACTGCTATACAGATTCAATGCAATGCCAATTGAAATTTCAACACTGTATTTCACAGAACTAGAATAAATAATCCAAAAATTCATTTGGAACCAGAAGAGACCTAGAATAGCAAAAGCCATCCTAGGCAACAGAGACATGGCAGGGGGTATAACAACTCCCAATTTGAAACTATACTACAAAGCCACTGTGATAATAAACAGCCTGGTACTGGCAAAGAAAAAGACCTGAGGATCAGTGGAACAGATTGGAAGATAC